TTCAAGCTAACCAGTCAAGAAAGCTCCAGCAAAGCCAATCGACAGCTGGTCAAGAGGAATCCGTCGTCGTCATCTGGTGGAACCGACCTTCGAATATCTTCACCAAACACTTTTACTTGAAATTGAAGTAAGCACGACAATTATAGAACAAAAGATTCCTCGAAATCCAACATTTATTAGCATATATTTGCTCAACCTGACTGACTGAATGAGTTGTTGTCATGTTCAGGATTTGGCTTGTATGTAAAATGTGGCCAACTATGGTCCAGAAATGTCACAAATGAGGAGATGGCAAGTATTATTTTCTTTTAAAAGTAGTGCTTCGTCGTGCTCGTTTGTTGCCATGGTACATACGAACCATCAAGGTTAGGTGAAATGGGGACCTTTTTGTACAAAGATCGACGATTAAAGGTCCCCCCAATCGTCTGGGCTCGACGAAGTTCCGAAGTGGTAATAAACTCAAGTTCAGCTTCACCCTCGAATAAAGTGTGACTAGTCTATCCCGAATCTGGATTCGAGGATGAGCCGACTTCAGCCTATATTCCCAATAATCAATAAGCTGCGTACCGAACTTTAGAGATTCCACTTTTTCTCTCAGCCTTAGCCAATGCATCCTCGTCTCTTCGTATAGTGATGGTTGGTAGCTATGCCTTGAGCTAGATTTCTTCAATCCCAGACAGACCATGCGTTCGATTCTGCCTGGATGCGGAAATCTGATGGGGCTCATAATTCCCAGTGGTACGTAAGCGTATCATCTTTGCATTAATCAAGCATGCAGATACTAAAAAATGTTGAAGTATCCCTCTTTCATGGTTATCGAAACGTAGTTCTAGCAGAAGTGAAATTTTCAAGGGGACCAAACGGTTAAAAATTGAGAACGAAATTAGCGGATCGAGTGTGTAATTATAAAACGACTCTTGAAACCCAGGCTACAACTTCCTAGTGCGTAGAAGGCAGAAAGTGTACTGACCAAAAGTGTAAAATCAAACTTCATGTAGGAAAGTTTTCTTAATTGTAACCATAAAAGCAAGACCGTAGAAACTTGAAGTAGACATTCATTGGGATACCATAACGGGAAAAATTCTATCGGACTCATTTATTTTCCAAACTTTATATCTCTCTTCTCTTTCCAGATTGCCGTTGACTCCGTCAATGGTAAAAGCATAAAGACATCCTTCTTATATCCGGGCTTGCTCTCCGGTTTCACATAAATCAAAGCTTTTTTTGAGAACAATTCCTTACCTCAAAGTGTGGCTCGAGCTCGCGGTCGAATGGCCGCCTCGTCACGATCCAACCGGTGTCCGACTCAATCTGAAAGTCATGCATTGCCTCCTTGCTCTGCTCGTCCAACCAGTAAGTGATTGCAGCATTTTGTCCGGCGTCTGCATCGATGGCATTCATCTGCAACAAATCAACAAACAGAATTACTCTGAAATGCATGGAAATCAAGATGCTAGTTTACTAAAAATCTTATTACATGGTGTCTTGAGCTAATGAACAGAATGAATAGAATGACCAAATTAACATTAGATTTAAAAAAGAATGGTGGTAAATTACGTTATTTGCATATCCTAGTTAGTAAAGAAGTGGAAAAGTGTGTAGGTGTGTGCTCAGAAAACCAACGAATGCAGACTTCCGCCTTAATCTCCCCTCAAAGTAGAAGTTATGAAGCGGAAGTGATAATTCGAAGTTTTCGTCTAGCAGATATATATCACTGGCATCAAGAGTAAGAGAAATTATGAAAAATTTCAGTTTATAAAAAAACTGAATAGGGATAATTGCCAAAACCGTTCCGATATTAAGAAATCGGATAAGGAAAATCAAATAATTAGCGCGAAACACGGAATTGACAACTCTCCAGCCAGGTTGTCAATGCTACTTAACTGGAAGTTTCGAAAGGTATAGGCGAATTATCAAGAAACTGGAAAATCAGGATCTTGCAAAAATAAAGGCTAACACTTTTGCCGGTTATGTCTTCTTTTAAAAATTCTTGAACTCTTTCTACAGATTAGGCTTTTTCTTAATACGGTAGTGTCGGGTTCGAGTCCCACGGGAGGTACTGATGAGACCCAGACTGGGTCGCAACTACAATCCATTCTAGCCAGAATGAGCATATATTTGGGCGAGCAAGGCGATGTGAATTTAAATGGGAACGTTAGATCTACCCTTTTGATTGTGGGAAAATTCAACTATCAGTCCTTAATCACCTTAAATGAACTAGAGTGAATACCGTTCGTATTCATGGTCTACTGGTAGTCTAGAAAGCCTACTTAACTACTCATACAGTAGAGCCTATTTGGACGAGACATTTTGACACATAAAGAAGGCTCATTCGAACAAAAAACTTCTTTCAAAGTTTTATAGGTCCCGAAATTGGAGGTGGCTGAACATATAGTCAAAACTGGAGACAAGATAGAGTTGTCTAGACCCCAACTTTATGCGAGATATGGGGAAGCATAAGCAGAATAAGACTAGGAAGTCAGTTTAAAGTGACAAAACAAACAAGAAACTGAATAAAAGAAACGAGTGTAGGAAGCTATGCAAGAATTACTTCTGGCTATTGGATAGAATTTGCGAGTGTGAGAGAGAACACGAAGAGCTTGGCTGACGTGGAGTTTGGTTTGGGCTCTAAATTGTTAACTGACTCATGAGTAGTGCCTACAACTAGCGCGCATGCAGAATTCACATAATAAAACTGTAATAACATTCACACCATCTTCATGTGTAATCATGAAGTTAGCAACCAATTATTGGGATACATTATTGCGTCGGAAAACAAGGTATAGGAAGTAAATTGTATTTCTTGGTTTAGGGTCCTGGTGAATTTGCATAAATGATGAATTATGGCTATTTAACCAAGGAGAGAAACATTATCATTCCGACTAAATTACAGTTTTAACTCTGTCTAATCTTTTCCTCAGCACCATACCATGACTTGAACTATACACACGAGGGTTCAACAGCAAGCACGATCTATCGGGAGCCACAAAACCCAGGCCAAATGGAGCTGCACACGATGGAGGGCTTTCTTGAGTGAGAAATTCGTCGTCTCTAGAATGACTATCAATCTCTTTAGCATCCTACTAAAATGATAGTTTGTAATAAGAAAAAAAAAAATTATTTACAATAAAGGGAGCTGCTTTTAGACATTCGAACATGTCACAGAAATCAGAAATGTATTTTAAGGGTTATGCAGTGGTTACAGATTAGAAAGAATAACCCGTTTTAAATTATCATTGGTGGTGAATATTTATGATGATGAGCTTAATAGTTCGCTCGCACCAGGAAAAGACTGTTGGCTGTAGTTTTATTTTACTCCGATCACCTCCAAACTATCACCGGTGTTTTAATACACATAAGCACACATAACAATAAATACACACGCATATATACATGTGGATGGACATAAAAATGCAATAATCAAATAATTAATTTTTGTTGAAGTACATAAAACGCGCTTAGGGATGAGAATGTTATTTGTATTGACTAAAAGTTGGTATGAAATTGTTATAAGGGTAGAATTATGGTGTCTTTCATTTCGGCCGAAAAAATGGTTACTATTTAGTAGAAATTTTATAAAGGAAAATTCCGATGAGGTTGATTTGGGAATCCTGTCCACTCAGCCCTTAAAGCTAAATGAAAATTCTGCCAACAAGAATGTTTTGAGGACACCCTAGAAACCAAGCTTCCCTTTATTTGTACAGCTTTAAGGATGCCAGTTAAGTGAAATTACGGATAAATATAAAGCATTTTGTACCAGAGGTAAATTGACTTGTCAACTTGTGTCGTCAGAGCCATTCCAGAATGAAAAAATGAAGCACATCGTTGTGAAATGGTAGTCCTCTTCTAATGAGATCGTGCCGGATATGGAAGTCTGAGAGGAAAGTGCAGTTGGTGTTTATAATAAGAACCTAGTCATTCTAGGTCACTTAATGCGATTTAAGGACTGATAATTGAGTTTTTCCCTATTCCGACCAATAGTCTTCAGGATGTAACTCAATTCAACTTGAACCTGTCTCTCAAAAGGCTTTCTCATCCAGGATGGGGTACAACTTCAGCCTCTCTAGAACCTGTCTCGTCAACAGCCCCAAAGAGATTCAATATTGGGTCGTGGGTATGCTGACGACGTTATACTCACAAGGTAAGTAGGGCCTCTCCCAAATCACACTGTCGATTAAGCATTCATGCTTTTGTCATTGCAAGACATGATGTTACTTATTTGAGATATAAGTAGTTTTCGAGACGAGCACTATTTCTTGAACAAGAACTTTGTCGCTCTGGGTCGGTTAAGGTAAATTTTGAGTTATGCATGATGAGTTCACTCTCCGCGTATGCAGATACCATTTAAGTTTTTTAAAATGTCTCAATCATAGCTTCAATAAGATGAAGAACATTTGTTTCTCTCAAATAGACAGTAAACCAATTGAGTTTTTGCTAAAGTGCAGATCGTCTTCCAGTGCTTTACTAATGCAGATTAAGTGACCCCTTTTTAAGTACGTCTACTAGCACTAGCCTCGGGAAGCCGAAACTTTTTGTTGCCTCAGCAACACATGTAAATCCCATCCTCCTGCGGGGCTAATCTGATCGCCGGTTCGTGTGAGCCACTTTGAAAGGGAAATATCCTTTTGGGCTAGTTAGTCTAAAGACATCTCCAAATAGCTTAGATCGCACGAGCGGATAAAAGAATGATGGTTGCATTTTGCCAAAATCATACAAGTAGGTGTCAGGATGCCAGTGAAATCAGCCAAGCCCTGGCTGCTGCTGCTCGCTACTGACTGGATACAGGCGTGGTCGAAACTGTAGTTCATTCTGGATGAAAATAGGTCTGAAAAGGTAGAGCCAAGCGAAATCCAAGGATATCATGTAAGAAACTTCAACCAACAGTCGCTCGCTCTCGGATGCGATCTCAGGGAGTCAACATTTACTGATGGTGTCGAAGCCTACTCATTATGAATATAAGTAATGTGCTCTATTGATGACATGCGCAAGCTTACTACATCAACAATCCTACTAGTAAATATCAACATTGGGTCCGATGTCCGTTAGCACTAGCGATGAGACCCAAGTGAGGTCGAAGCCACAGTCCAGTTCATTTTTTGGGGGAAAGTTAAGAGAATTTCTTTGCCAGCTTGCGCATTACTCATATCATCTTAGGCGAATTCGACCATCAGTCCTTTGTTGAGCTTACTA